GAGAAGTTTCCTGAAGAGAAAAAATTATAGTGCCCTTTTTTCGAGAACCTACTTACCTATCAGGCAGTGTGCCAAGCAAGTCCATTTTATTAGCCCTGTCGTCCAGATGAGAAAGAAGACAGAGACATGAATTAAGCTTTCAGTTTGGGAAGACGAACGAGGTCTGGAGAGGGATGGTGGGATGGCTGCACAACAGCGTGAATGCACTGAGCATGACTGACCTGTGTCCCCTTGAAATGTTAAAATGGTGGCTTTGGTGTTATGGTTATTTGCCACCACAACAAAACCTACAAAGAACCAAGTAGCGTAGCTCCCAGGCAGAGAAGCCAGGAGTTACACACACAAGGTCCTACCCCAAAGTCTTGTTCTTGACCACTCACTATTTCATCTCACTTGCAAGTGAAGATGCTAAACTGGCAGAAGGCAGGCAGAGAGACCAGGGCACCCACTACCAGGCTGAGGAAGATGGGCTTATCCTGAGGGCTGCAGTCAGGGGCAGGACACGGCTGTACTCAAGGTTGAAGGGCATGGTCAGATTTAGGGGTCAGAAAGTTTCTTCTGGTTCCCAGGAAGATGGGCTGGAGGGTGAGATGGGAGGCGAGGAGGTGGTGGGCCACAGCCAAGCCAGGGCTGCTGAGGGGAGACCAGGGTGGCAACGGCAGTGAGAAGAAGTGGGCCTGCTTGAGAGACTTGTGAAGTGGAATACTCTGCGTGGGGTGGGCAGGGAGAGGGAGAAGCAGGCAGCACCTGTCCTCACAGGGCTTCTTCTAGCCTATCCATTATAGCGTCCTCTGACAACATAGTCCTTCCAGCCCCCTTTCCCTGTGTGTCACCTTGCAGAAAAAGCCTGGGGCGCAGAGCTCTCCTCTGGCCCCCAGGGGGCAGTGTTGCAAAGTTTTTGGGTGGTTGGGGCTCTTCCTCACCAGAAGCCAGGGGCAAATGCTTGCTCTCGGTCTCCTCTTTGGGCCTCCCAGCATCCCCTCCCAGGAGCCTAATTATTCATACCTGCAATCCCTCATGTCCCACAGTTGACACTTCACAAAGCCATGGTGCATCCGATATCTCACAGGGCAGGGATGGAGCAGAATGAGATGTCTCCTTTATCCCCTGCCCCCCAACCGCTTTATAATAAGAAAACTGAGGACTGGGCCAGAAATGGAACCTGGCCAATGCCAGGTGTGTGTTGGTGGCAGAGCTGGGGCTGGGGGCCACAGGCCAGCCCATGCCCAGTCAGGACCCAGTTAAAGGGCCCAGCCCCATAGCACCCACAGGACAGCGGCTGCTAACAATGGCCTGCTAACACCCCACCTGCCTGCTGAACCCCAGCCTTGCCCTTGAGCTCCCTCCCGCCTCAGGGGGCCTGTCCCTGTGATTTATTCCCGTGGGGTTGTCAGTTAGGTCAGACCAACCTAGCGCATCCCTGATTTACTTCTCCCTCATGCCGTGCCTCCAGAATTACAAGTCATCGCCATTACCATCACCACCATATTAATAATGGGTTGTATCTGCTCAGCCCTCAGAACTTAGCAAGGACTAATCCATTCATCAGCTCATCGGAGCCTGCTGACAGCCCTGGGAAGGCATTTCATAGACAAGGGTACTGAGGATCAGAAAGGGCTAGTAACCAGCCCCAGGTCACCCAGCCAGGCCTCGGAGGAGTTTGCAGTTGCCTGGAAGAGAGAAGCCGTGCACATGCCCAGTTGAAGACAGGGCCAGGTGGTGGGATTTAGTGCAGCTCTGCCAGGAGGTCCCCTGTCATCTTACAGGTGGAGAAACTGAGTCCCACAGATCTTCTTGCTGCGTTAGGATTGAGCTGTCTGATGCCCAAGCTCATGCTCTCTATGAGGCATAGGGCTGCCACTTTCAGAGAGGGGTGCAGAAATTCTAACATGGTACGCATTCTCTCTGGGCTGGGACAAGAGGCTGGTGGCTAGTGGAGGCAGCTGGACCCAGGGGAAGGCTGCTGTTGGGGCAAAAAAAGGCTTCCTGTGGAGGAACCTTCAGGAGGGGTTTGAGCTGTAGACAGAGCACACGGCATGAGCCATGCAGGGCTGGGGCGCTGAGCCAAGGTGGTGGGGCTGAGGGGCCACCCATGCACCTGCCAACCTGAGCTCCTCACAGGGTTGGGAAATCTCCTGGGTTCTGATCCAGAGGCATGCCAATAAAGAGGGGGAAAGTCCTGAAATTTTGCCAGGATGAGGTCTGTTTCTCATCTACCAGAGAGGAAACCGAAACCTAAGGAAACACAGTCATGACACACACAGCAGAGCCTGCCTCTCCTCAGGCCTCAGTCTCCCAGTCCGAAAAAGGGGCCAGTTGAATTAAATGAACTTCAAGTTCCTTCCTGCTCTGACCTTCTGAATGTCATGCATCATCCTCACTCTCCTTAGCTCAGATTCCAACCTCTGCTATACACCTGACAGGTAGCCCCGGGCAAGTCCCGTGGCCTCTCTGACTGTCAGAGTCCTCGTGGGTGAAATAACTATGACATTACCTTAAAGAGCCACACATGGGGGCATGACTGCACAGCTTGGGGCCTGAACCCCAAGGAAGCATCTGGGGGTGCAGAAGGCCGGGGCTCTGACTGAGCCTCTTGCTTGTCTGCCAGGATGAGGGCTCATTTATAGATATCCGCTTGCCAGCCGCCAGGCTAGGGGAAGTGGGAGCAAAGGTGCTGAGGTGGCAGTTTGAAACCTTTTTCAGGAAGGAGCTTCTGGCTACTCACCCTTCTCTTCGTCCCCCAGCCCCCATCTACTGGGCATCCTCAGAGTGATCCTTATAACAGGCCAGAAGGTGGGAGTTTGACCTCACAATCTCCACTGAACAAATGAGAAGACTGAGACCCAGAGAGGAGAAAGGACTTGCTCCAAGTCCCGCTGCAAGGTAGTGACAGAGCTGGGACCAGAACTGAGGTCTCGAGTCTGGAGCCCAGGATTCTTCCTGTGTACCCAAACTTAGATTGTTCTTTAAAATAAATTCTCCTATTTTGCCTGGTTTGCAAAACGGAATTTCCTTATGTGGGCTGATGTGAAGAGGGGGAAGGGCTTGGGTTCTGCAAACCATCTGAGGTTTCACAAACAGACTCAGGTTCAGCATGAGGACGCAGGACTGTGAGAACATCACAGAGCCCTGGAATCTGCAAACTGTGCCAGGCTTTGCCAACAACACCAGATTCAAAAATGGCATCAAGTTTGCAAACTGGGGAATCTGCAGATGGTATTGTGATACACACATGTCATGAGGTTCTGCGAAGGCACAAGGCTCAGCAAACGCCACACTGGCAAATGGCAAAGCTGGGGTGCAAACAGGTTGGTCAAACCTCAGCCTGTGCCAACTGCAGTGGCACCTCACGGCAGGATTGGCCCACAAGCCAACCAACGGTCTGTTAGCCTAACTCCCAGAGGTGCCTGGGTACCTGATCCTTGCTCCAAATCCACAAACAAGTTCAGGAATATTTTTGGGTCAGCTGTGTCGGCCAGGGGAAGCTGAGGAGATAAGTGAAGACAGGTCCTATATCTTCTGTGCCCTGTGGGTGCTATGCATTGAGAATTTGAACTTCACCAGGCAAGCTAATCTCAGCACATACCCAGACCAATCCATGTGTATAATTTCTTCATCCCCCAGGGCCAAGGTAGGGGCCACTGGACTTCCAGAAAATTTAAAGGGAACTTTCCTCTCCACTGTTCACCTTTAGTTTGGAATCTGGGAGGCTGCACCTCCGTAGTCTTGGTGGGGACTCACAGTGCTGCCTCTGGTCTGGAGGATTTAGAGACAGGTGTGCTCAGGCAGGAACAGGGTTTGGTCTTTCTATTAACCCAACCATTGCTCTTCTGCAGTGCAGTGGTCATGTGCTCACATTTCTGGTTTCTCAAAGACTCATTCACAAAATAAGTATATACTGAGTGCCTTCTATGTGCCAGTCAATCTATAATTATTTTAAATACTCCTACTTCCTCTTGACATCCTCATACAGCCACTAAGAGACAAATGGCACTGACGATGTTTCTCAATCATCAGAAATGGTTGGGCTCTAAACCCACCTTCTTGTTTCATGCAAAGATCCTATTCCTGGACCTGGATCAGGTTCAAGCACTAGCTTGGTGACCTCTGCCCAGATCAGGAGACTCAGTATCTCATCTGTAACATGAGAAAATAAACTCCTGGCCTACAGTTCAATAGGAGGGCCCGGTGGGGCTGCATGTGTGGAAGTGCTGAGTAAGCGCGAATAGGCAACCCGGGTTTGCTTTCTCTGTTTCTGCTCTGTTCTGAATTCCCTCTGCTGCTCCCTTCTCTGAGCTCCAGACACTCAGACTTGGCTTCCTTCTTGCTCACTAGACTTTCACGGCAGCACTGCAAGAGAGAAATATTGTCCCTTCTTTATAGATGAGAGAACTGATGCTCAGAAAAATGCAGGGACTTGCCTAAGGCTTCTCGGCCAGCAAAGGACAGGGCTGAAATGGGACTCAGGTCTGTCTGGCTCCAAGGCCACCATCCTCAGCTTCAGTCCAGGAAACTCTGGAGATTTCATATTTGCCCTTCTGTGCCCTGCCCCATTCTGCCCCATCTAGATGGCCATGCTTTAGGGAATGGCTACCGTTGAGTCCCTACCAGGTGGGCTGGCTGTTGTGATTCCCAGTGGACAGAATCCCTCCCTGCTCTAAATCCTTGGAGCTCAGAGATGAGATGGGGGTTCAGTGAGAGGGAACAAGGTCTGGAGGAGGACAGGGGTTCAGTGAAGGAGGACAGTGGGGGAACAGAGGCTCTGTATGGGGCTCATGGGCAATAACAGAAATTCAGTGAGGAAGACAAAAGCATGGTGGATCAGGGGCTCAGACAGAGAATGGGAGCACAGTGAAGGGAGAAGAATCAGGACTGAATGACCCCAGGATTTGGAGACATTCCCTTTGGCCCCACCTCTTCACTGCTAACAGAGTAGAGTAACCAAGGGAGGTGCTAGCAGCCTCCTCCCATCAGCGGGGCTGGATCTATACAAAGCCAGCCTCCAAACAAAACCAACTCTGAGCTGCTCCAGCCAGGAATCAGAGGAACTGAGAGAGAGACAGAGAAAGACAGATTTTGAGTTAGTGAGTCAGGGTACAGATAGGGAACTAGGGCAGAGAAAGACAGAAAAAAACAGTGATATATGTAGACAGGCACTTGGAGAGTGGGGTCAAGTTTGAGCAAGACTTCCTAACCCATACGTGGAAGAGCTGCTGTGTAGTGTGGTCCAAGAAACATCGGCGCAGTACCTGGTCCTCCTGTTAGCGCATCCCTGTTGTGACTTGAGGCTGCTGTCTCTGGGAGTCCCTGGTAAGGGATCATTCCCTCTTTCCTCCAAAGCTCCGGTCCTGGGATTGAAATAGGGGCTGGAACTCTGCACCACAGCAGTCATGGGACCCAGGATAGGTAAGTCTGGACAAAGTAAGGAAGGGGCATTGGGAGGGAGCCTGGGGACCACATTCTCAATGTGGCGTGTGTGGCTGTTGAACCAAAATGGGTGTGCTGGGGTGAGGTGAGAGCTCATGATTCCTTACACAGAGCTCTGCACATGGCTAAACCTAGTGAGAGTGTGTCAAAATAAATGAATTGCCGGACAGGCAGGAAGGGATGCTGTTTACTCAGCTGGAGGCGGGGAACTCAGCCAAACCTCCCTGATGAGACAGAGCGACCAACAGGGCAATGGAAAGGCAACCCCCTGAACACGTTGCTGAACCCCTCTCTGAAGCAGACAAAAGTAGAGACAAACACAGCAGAGAAAAACAGAGGTAGAGAGAAGTGTAGTCATAGATGGAGCAAGTTCAGAGTTATACAGAGTCAGATCAAGGCCAAGACAGAAGGACAGAGACAGAGGGAGAAGACAAAGATCAGCAGGTGTTTGCAAGAACATGCAGGGACCTGGAAGCATGCAGAGACCAGCCCCGGAGAGAGGGCTGCAGAAAAGACCATGGGAGGTAAAGAGGAGCCCACACAGTGAAAGAGAACCAGAAAGAGACAGATAGGAAACCAGAGCACAACCAAGTCCTGTGCCTGTGATGCCTGTCACTGCTCAGCCAAACAGCAGAGGCAGGGATTGGATTATAATTGTGCTTTTACTAATATAAGACACCAGCAATCTGAGAAGGTGGCAAGAAAAAGCCCTAATATGTACCTCCCCTTAAGCTTTCAAAAGCAAGTTTATATAGGGGAAAGGTAGGAACTTAGGAGGAGGAAATTCCTAGGGAGGGCAGATGTGCTGTCTCTTGGGAGTAAGGGAAGGGGGAGGTGACAGGGGAGTCCTGGAGTCTCTTCCCTTTGCTCTGTGATATCTCTTCACTTGCATTAGCATTTCTCTCTCCCCAGGCGCCTGTGGTTTATGGACAGAAAAACCTATGTATTCTCTGGTTAGGGAGGAGAGCTATAAACCGTTTGCTCTCGTGTCCTTGGTTAGGAGAGATAAGGTCTTGAGATTCACCAGCTGGCTGTAAGTTGCTCAAATAGTTTGGCCTTGTTTAATTTTCTTGTCTCAGTTTCCCTATTCCACTTGCTCAGGAATTTTCCTAGTTTCTTACTACCCTGTCTTATTCCCTCCTTAGAGACTTCCATCCCTAAAAGTTTTTAGGGGTGATGAGGGAAGAGATTCTCTCTTTTTTTAGATTATTTATTAATTTATTTTTTAGAGAAAGGGAAAAGGAGAGAGAAAGAGAGAGAGAGAAACATTGATGTGTGACAGAAACATTGATTGGTTACCTCTCACACATGCTTCACCTGGGGACCTGGAGAACTTTTGGTTTGTAGGACAATGCCCAACCCAGTGAGTTCAGTGTGAGGGAGGAGATCCTACTATCAGTAAAGCTTCCTGTTGACAAGGGTTATGGTCCCTGCCTGCACAGGATATGGAAGTTTCTTGCTGCCTGATCTACAGGGGACAAGGGACTGGGACCTGAGACTGGAACAGAAAGGCTGTGAGCTGATTCTTCCAAAGAAGGGATAGGCTGGGACCCCTGAAGCATCATCATCTGGATATGGAATTGTTTTATCCAATTCAATCATCTAGTCCTGACAACAAATCCATTCAGTCAAACTACTGAGTCTCATTTCAGGAGGTGGCGATGCAGAACAGGGCTTCTAAAGTGGGGGTTGTACTGTGTAAACAAGCAACCGTCTAAAAGAGGTCATTGTATACACTCTGTGAAAACAGAAGGAACACAAAGGTTAATGAACACAGCAAACCATAAACTAGTTTCTGAGTCTTCAGTGAGAAGACTTCCAAATGCAAGGCTTTTGCTGGAATAAAATTAAGCAGTGACAATCTACAGATAAGAGTTTAAATGTCTCTGGTGATATCATCAGGTTCTCAGGTAAATTCTGTATGGTTGACACTGTATCAATAGTTCTCAGCAATTCCAAATCAAAGGATGAAAGAAAAATGAAACATTAGTTTGCAAAAAAACTAAAAAATTTCAGGATCCAATTCAGTCCGTAGGTGAAGAATAAAACTAAAATCTAATACTTATAACTGTATATTATAGATTTTATTGACTACAGTGTTTCCCCTTAAATTATCCTTATATTTCATTAAAGAGACAGCATTAAGTCTGATTTCAATTTGGCCTGATCGTCTGCATAAACACAAGGATAGCAATTGATCATGTAGGCTTTCTTAAATCTGCTTTGCTGGAATGTTACAAGGAATTTTGAGACTGAACTTTAATTTGCCCCTCAGGGCAAAGAAGCCAAGCCATCAGTTGCCCTCAGACTTTATCCACAAATACCTACAGATTTAGGTGAGTTCCTCAAGTTCTCAGGGTCCCCAGAATGTCTTGAGACTCTTTCCTTGACACCTTTCAGGAAAGCAACCTTCATTCCTTACCTGGAAAGACTTCCATGAACCTTCTGAATACATAAGGTACCAGACCATTTCTCCAAGGGGCTTTCATTAGCTTCAAGGTCAATCTATTCCTTAAAGCTTTTTGTGGACACCCAGAGTCCAGGCATGTCTCTCTTAATTATGACATTCCAGACAAAGACTTGGCTAATAAAACCACAATTGGAAACTGACTTTTTATGCCCTATTATGAAGAGATCAGATTCAAACCAATCAATTCAATTCAATTCAATTCAAATATGCAAACAAACATATTGCCATGGAAATAATAGTACTCACTCATTAAGGGTTTCCAAATTCCAGAGGGATCATGTTGGGAGAAAAATATAAATGCATCAGTATTATTTATGAAAGTATAATTTACCGAATTGCTTTGAGAAAAAATGTATTCTTATGTCTGAGAAACAAAAGATTAAAAATTAGCAATATTTTTCAACAAAAATTATAAAAGCCATAATTACCTTCAGTTTGGTATGTCCCATAATTAATTTTTGTTTATCCTGATTATTTGCAAGTATTTCTATAAGTTCAGTTATTTCACACAGCTCTAGTGATCTTCATTCAGTTCAAAGGTACAATCTGAACATTTATTCTCAGAAATATGTGATTTAAAATAAGTCAGAGTCCTTTCCATGAACTTCTTCAAAGACATAATATATTTTTGCAAATTCATTAGAGTAAAACAATGGCTGTCTCCAAATGACCAAAACACCCCTTAAAGTGACAAAGTTACAGATTTGATGATAGTGCAACTAACAAATGAATTTGCTTTCCCTGAAATAGCATTTTAAGATAACTAGAATTACATATGAAAGTATATCAGAATTTTGTAGAATCTTGGAGGTTTTTTGTAGCTCTAGAATACCTACTTTAATAATAAAAATATGTGTATACAAATAGAACATACTTATTATTTCTCTTTTGACAAAGCTTCCCATGTACTTCAAGTATATTAAATAGGCCTAATTAGTTCAAAATTTGTTTTTTTTTTAGTAAAGATTTTATTTATTTATTTTTAGAGAGAAGGGAAGGGAAGGAGGGAGAGAAACATCAGTGTGTGGCTGCCTCTCGTGCTTCCCCTGCTGGGGACCTGGCCCACAACCCAGGCATGTGCCTCGACTGGGAATCAACTGACCACCCTTTGGTCTGTGGGCCAGTGCTCATTCCACTGAGTCACACGAGCCAGGGCCAACATTTCTTCTTAATAAGGAGAAAGAACAAATCCCCGAGGCATTCGAGGGACCCACTGGGAGTTGAAGTCAGCTAAAATGCAACCTAATGGACTGTGATGGGATCGAGACCAAGCCGCTCCTTTTCAAAACAGAAACAGAAACAAAATCTGAAGCAGAAGAGAAAGTTCAAATAAATGAGTACTTATTTAAAAGGAGGGGCTGGGACTAGCCTTAGAATCCAATCTCACACCACCTTTCATGGAGAGAGCTCTCAAATAGAAACTGACTTCCTCCTGTGGAGGAACAGAGAAACAAAACTAACAGACGCGTGAAAAAGCAGTGTGCAACAAGAAAAGCAAACAATACCCAAAAATCCATGTACAAAAGTCAGAAGGGTCCAACCAAATCCCACATTGGGAACTGGGGTTTTTCTTGTCACTGAGCCATACCTACTATACCGCCTAGCAGTGCCCATTGATTTCCATAGAAACCCATAGAGTCCAAAGGACCCAAGAGACAGGGCGGGGCTCCTGGTCATGCACACCAGGGACTTACCCAGTGTGGAGTCCGTTGACTGCCCAGAGAAAGCAGACGCTAGATGTCTGTTACGGAAAGCCCAATTCGACATGAATTTATCAAGACTGTGTCCATGGACCATCAGATGGCCAAAGGCTGGAAACCAGATGGGCTTTCTGAGCATAAATCCAGTCTGTTACTGAAAGGTGAGGTGATGGGAAGTACTGGGGTCCTGGGACCAAAGACTACCCTTGGCAAAATCGCTGGGCATCTGCTGAAGATCTTGGCTGGGGGTCTGGGCTTCCCTGTCCAGGCAGCCTCCAGGACTCCCCCTGCCCAGAGAGTCCTGAGGCTGCCCCAGCAGCAATCGCCAGAAATTGAAATTGAAGGGCAACTGAGTCCAGGGCTGCCTGTCTGTCACTGTTCAGTCAAATAGCAGAGGCAGGGATTGGATTATAATTGTGCTTTTATTAATCTCAGACGCCAGCAATCTGAGGTGGAGAGTACAAGCCCTAACGTCCACCTTCCCTTGGGTTTATATAGGGATAACCTGGGAATTTGGGAAGGGGAGGTTCCTAGGGGAACGCAGATGTGCTGTTTTTCTTGGGAGTAAGAAGGGGAGCTGAAAGGGGAGTCCTGCAGCCTCTTCCCAAGCTCTTCCCTTTGCTCCGTATATCTCTCCATTTGCATTAGCATTTCTCTCTTCCCAGGCACCTGTGGTTTATGGCCAATAACACCTGTGGTTTTATGACAAGCAAAGCTACATATTCTCTGATTAGGGAGGGGAAGTATAAAGCATTTGCTCTCAAGTGCCCTTGGTTAAGGGAGGTAAGGTCTTGTGATTTATCTGTTGG